ATTTGGAATATCCTTTCATTATACCTGCTCGGTTCTAAGTTCATTTTTTTCTCCTAAGTTCAAGACTTTTCCATGCTATTTAAATAATATTTACTTTTTATAATAAAGTTAAATTTATTAATTTAGATTGTCTCCCTATTTGACTACAAACAAGTGATATTATTTCTCTATGTGCACATTTTGGAAACAATTACCAAAATACTTCCTTATTTTCTGCTCAGTTTTTTCTTGTTTGGTTGGTTGGGTTTGGGTGGGGGTTTTTTGGTGAATTTTTTTGTTTGGTTTTGTTTTGGTTTTGAGGGGTTTGTTTGTTTTTGAATTGTTTTAGTTTGTTTGTTTGTTTTTTTTAACAAAGGGGAAAACTTTGGGGAAGGTTTTAAAATTTTTAGAGACCTTTTTAGTAAGTCTTACCCTGGAAAAATTTTTTTTTCTTTTTTTTCAAGACAAGGGCAGGTTCTTTAAGTGATCTCCAACCTCTTGTATGGAGGTGTCACTTCAGATGGTACAGGACTTTCTTGTTCATCAGAAAATGATACAGTGAGATAGCAAGGACTGGAAACTGAAGTTAAACAAATGTATGTTATACATAGGTGAAATAACTGACAACTGAAACATGCTGATCTAAAGGCTTGTGAATTTCCCATTTTTTAACACGTCAATAAAAAAAACTGGATGACTTTCTAAATTCCTTGAGAATTTAGGGTTGAACGAGAAACTTGATGCAGGGATTACTGGGTGATGCTCTATGGCTTACGTTAAGAAGGGACTCAAATTAAATGGAACATAACAGCTCCTTCTGATCTTAAGATTTGTGAATCATCCAAAAACTTTTCTACCAAATGAACAGAAGAGAAGAATGAAGACTGCAAATATTTCTGAAGAGGGGAGAAAAAAAGAAGCAAATAATCCCTCTAAAAAACCCATATATGTATGAGAGGATTTCAGCAATGACTTGAAAATATAAAGTACTGCTGAACTGTCAAATCACTTGTAGACAGAGAAAACTGCTTACTACCTATAACGCCAGTAGCATTTTTGGCACATTCCCTCCAGTGCTGTTCTGTGCAGTGTAAGCCTCTCTTCTGCCTTTTTCACCCACCAACCTAATTTCTCACTCTCACACTTCTTTTATCACTTCCTGTATCATTCTGTTCTCTTGGGTTTGTTTTTTTTTCTTTTGACATTATCAGGCCAGCTATAAGAAAAAGGTCTCACTGATGCTTCAAGGCAATTGTGCATCCTTCCCTTGTGCACACAGCACAGGCAGTCAGGAGCAGACTGGAGTCAGCAGGAAAAGACCAAAGATCCTGATGGGACAGAGCAACCTAAGCCCCTGCTACTAGCACCAACCACCCTTCACATGCTGGACCCCACAGCCAAATTAATGAGCATAGTGTCTTCTTCAAGAAGAATCCTGTGTAGCCTTTGCTGCACCTCTGCAGTTCTTGCATTTTACGAGTGAAAACCATGCAAAAAAATTTTGGAATGTCATCATTAAACTGGGCAATCAAGAAAAGTATGAGCTTGATACCAGCATGAGAAAAGCTCCTGAAGAATTGTGCTAAATGTGAAATTCTGAAAAGTTTTTTATGAGATACAGAAGCCTGAATGCTCATTGTCAAACTATGGAGTTGGGATAAGATTAATTAAAAAAAGTTTAGTTTGCTGACAGAACCTGACTGCTGGTGTAATTCATCTCAATGACTTCAGCACACTTGTGGAGTGAGGGAGAGAAGGAACAGGATGCAAGTATGTCTGTAATTTAGTTTGCATGCAGAAGGTCTTCCCAGGCAGTTATGCTTAGAAGCAGCTATGCACCCCAACCCACTTGGTTGCCCACAGCTGCAGGTTTATTCTTAGTTTCAGGAATGTGAATCCTCACAGACATGGTAATGGCTTCATGTCAGCTAGGAGACAGGTTTTCTCCTCAAAATATTTCTCTCTCTGGGTGGATGAGGGGGGAGTTTAGTGACATCTAATTTCTGAACCACATCAGTCACTTGAGGTATCAAAAAGACTTGCCTGGATTACACTGGTCTTGCTAGTTCTGTAACCTGTACCTACATGCAGCGCAGCCTGTTTCATTAAGAAATCCTATGGTAGGCATGACTGAAACATAAGACACAGCCAAGCTCCATCTGCTCTGCAGCCTTGAGAAGAAAAGGGAGAGGATGCACAGTGCAGGTTGGCCTGTCTGGATGGGTGCTGTACCCATGTGTGGGCAAAAAACTGTATCTCAGCCCACAGGCCACAGTGAGAACTGATGCTCATGATGCCATGTTACTTGTGGACACACAGAAATTAAGAAAGTCAAGGCGATGTGCCATGAGGCCTTACAAACTTAATCTTTGTAAGTGCAGGCCTCTCTATGTCTCCTCTACTTGCCATAGTAGATATTTGCTCCTTGGCTAAGCCAAGACCAGCAGAATAAACTCAGGTAAACGCAAGGACTGCAAAAGGATCCTGCATTTCTCCATCAACCAGGAGGGAAAAGCAGGTTTCTTTGACACATTTATCCAAGAATATCCAGAATGATGTCCATGCATATTCTACAAAACTTCTTCCAGAAATTCCAATGCACAGACATCTTCTCTGAGAACAAACATTCACTCAGAATTATCCTGCTGTTCCCTGGGAAAGAGTTCAGGCCTTAATATAATAAATGTACAAGAACATAATTCAGATAAGAACATCAAGGTTTCTATTTCTTTCAAAAGTTGATGGATTAGAGTTTGCTCATTTAGTCTTTAATATTTATTGCGGTGATTCTGAATATCCTGACTGGTACTGAACATTCTCCTATCCAATCTCTTTCTTTTGGGCATATGTCCTTAATACATGAAAACTTTTGTCCTTTCTACCTACTAAGCCCTGCTTTGTCAAGCCATTCAGGTAAGTCATTACTAAAAATTGTCTTCTATTCTTAACCTTCTATGTTCACAACATTTCCCTAATCATTACAAACTACAGCCCGTGCCCCTTGACAATATCTCATTAAAACAACCTTACTGCTCAGGATTTTATGTAGCCACTGATCAGCTGAAGTCAATGAAGGGACACTGATTTATGAGATGGTTCTTCCCTACCTTCATTTCTGTTAAGTAACCTTTCAATGAGAAAGAGCATAGGGAAGGGTAAAAACTTACATGGGAATAAGACAAAATATATTATGAAGATGAGCAGGTTTTCTACCTTGCTGAACACAAGTACTTCACTTGAAAAATTTGGGCACATCAATAGTCTTCAACCTGTTTCTAAAAGAACTATAATATATAATGAATTTCTATAACAAGCAAGCAAATTTTCACCAGTTAATGATACTATAAACAAAAATCTATTGCTTTTAAGAACAAACATAAACTTTTCTTTCAGTTAGGTACCAAAATTGGGCTAACTCTGTACAATTGCAGAATCAGTCAATTATGCCATGTGGATGAAAACATGTATCCTTTTGTGATGCAAAGCTACTGTAACTTCAAACAGCTATAGAGCTCTGTACAAGCTGTATTTGCTGTACAGTCTTCAAAGAGCTGAAGCACCCTTTAAGCAAAAGACAGCAGATACTCATTCACACATGAATCTGACAATGTGTAATGCTGTTAGTAGACTGTACTTGCCAAAAATGCTAGCAATAAATTTAATGTAATGAAATGGAAAGTCAGAATGTCAGAAATTATTTATGTAGAAATAAGTCTGTTCTTTGAGGAAGGACAATGAACTGGGTTCTCAGACTTGTCTGACAGTGTCCATATAAAAAATGAAATCATCTAAGCCAAGCAAAGCATTCTACTGCTAGGGTTCCAGAGGATGAGAAGAAAAGTAATAATTCATGGAAGTCCTAGTGCAACAAGTAGACCAGTCCATTCACACAAGGTGCCTCCCACTGTTTCATATATTGTACTGCCACAGTATTCCAGTAAAATAGTGACAACAGATAACACTAACATAAATTTAGGGGGATAAAATCCTGTCTCCACTGAAATCAAAGCAAAATTTCACCATTTTCAGAATCGGGATTTCATCCTTGAGTGCTTTTATTTTCAAGTATTCACAGCGAAGAAGTGACTGGAGAGGTGTCTGGCTTTCAGTACTCAGCCCCTCTAATTGTTGCCTGCTCTTAAAAAAAATTGTATTATCAGATTTTGAGAGACATATTTAGCACTTAGCTCCACTGGCTTCTTATCTATTTCAGGAACATCCAAACAATGATAACTAAAATAAATAACTTTGCTTGTTTCCATCATCGTTGGGGGATGGACACCATACATTTTTTCCTTCCTTCTCCTCCCTCTGTCCATCCTGCACTAGCCTTCTTTCATTGCTGACTCTGATCATGGTTAATGTGAGGACTATTTCTTTTTCTTTCCCCTTCACTGCCTCTTTTCAAGATTTAGCTGAAAGTGACTGCTTCTTCTAGCCAACATAACAAGGAGCTTTTATTTCTTTGTTCAGGTATGTCACTTGGAAAAAGAAGAGGTATTTTCCAGGATACTCAATACATTCAAGATCTCCTAAACACAACACTAGTCTTGATTTGCCTATATCCATAAAAGGATATAGGCAAACATATATCCCTAAAAAACAGTTGAAAAAAATGTTTTCTAGTGTTTGCAGCCTTTCAGAGGAAAGCCTGTTAAAATAAAAGGGAATCTGTTACCACAAATGATGGAATCCCACAAGACAAGAGAGGGGATTAGCCTAACAGAACACCTGCCTATGTCAACAGTGAAACAAAGCTCCATCATACACTGATCCAGGCAACTCAACATCTGTGCTCTGCCATCACCACCTCCCCACTGACAGCCGGTCATGCTTACAAAGCATGTCTGCCTCTCCCCAACACCACTCAAAAGACTGTAAAGATAGTGCAAGTGTGGCTCCCTGACAGCTCAGTCTAAGGACCTCACATCAAAAGCATGTGCAGCACTATAAATGTTTTGCTCTCCTTCACAGCAAAGAGATAAAGGTTTTATTTCTCCCAAGAAGACAGTCTTACTTACTTGGGATAGCGTCTCTGCTGAAAGATGGGCAGAATCTCTGTATCTTGATTTGAATGCAGAAGCAGTAAATCCCGAAATCTTTCTGTCAGGACAAAGAAAAAAAAAGGAAAAGAAAAGAAAAAAACAAACCCAGACTGTGACTCTGCACTGTAAGTTCAGGCCACAAGTAAGCAAGCAGTAATATAAGTGAATTCTCTTCTCCAGTAATATTTAGCAGAGGACAAAACTTAGTGTACAGGGACTAAAGATCACCTGTAAAACATTTTAATATTTTAAAATGTAATTTTTTTCATCAAATATTGAATTTTAGTAGTGCTTATAAGTTTCTGAGGTCTGCATAGAGGTCTTTGGGGCATCATACTCAGACAGCCATGAACAGTCCCTCTGCCTTGAAGAGCTTAGTCTAACCAGAAAGGAGGAGGCACTAAGAATTCACCAGCCACTGAAGGATCACAGTAGTTTAAACCAGCAAAGATTAATTAATTAATCTAAATTAAACTGCAGTGCAAATCCTTCAGTAACCAATTCACAGGTATTTTCAAGGATTGTTGGAAGACTGGAAAACTGCACGATAGGATAGCTTTTGTAACTTAGCTTCACTGAGCACCAAATGAAGGGGTGGTTGTGGTTTGTGTAGCTGTCTTTGATGCCTTTCTTTCTCTAGAGGTGGTTAGACACAATATGTCAAATGGGATCTATAGAAGCTTCTATTGGTACTGACTTCTCAGTTCCTGGAAGATGGAAGCCTCCTCAAAATTCACTTGATACCCAGATTCAGGGATAGAATTTCCCACACAGATCAGATCCCTATGGCACACTGGTAGCTCTCCATAGCATGAGATGTGCTCTGTTTGCTTCTTTCCTTCCGTCACCTGCAACTTTTAATCAGTCCTACAGTGGCACAGAATTGAGGACATAAGTGATATCCCTCTTATCTCCTACTCTTCCTGCAATACCTAAAAACTGTGGATTTAAGTCTTCAGCAACAGGTGTTACCCTTCATTTCCTAAACTGTAGTTTGCAACCTGTGTTGTGTGTAGCAGCGGTACCATGGATTTCTCTAAACTAACTCTCTTCCATGGCAGTTCTTCATTTTGGGAACTGAACCTGAGATTAAATGTACTCCTCCTCCTCTTAGATCCCCATGTATCTCAAAATATCCTCTAACATCTAATATATGGATTAGGAAATCAAGGGGCAGAAAAGCATTTAGTTTTATACAGTGCTATATCATCATAACTAAACTCCATTAATTTGGAATAATTCTGCTGTGTAGTCTCTAAAATGGAAAAATCCCCACCTAAACCCACACTTCATAAGGTTCCAATACCTTGAAGAAAGCAAAATAAATTCAGAAGGAATTTATTGTTAAGGACTCAGTTCTAAAGGTCAATTGTCTCACATCTCTAGTCTTTCACTAGATGGCTAAGGCATATTGCACACATCTTGGACAGGATACCAGGATCTACCAGCAAAGAAACAAGGGCTTATCTTTGTTCCTTTATTTCTATACCTCTTCAGATTTCAACTTCCTACCTCCAAAATTCTTACCCTTTCCTCAAAATGTAACTTAGCTTTCCTACACCTAACTAGGACAGGGAGTGGATGTGGCCAACAAAAAAAAATTCAATGCTGTAAAGATGAAAGTGAAATCCAATGAGTACCTGTCACGGAACAGCCTGCTCACTGTCTTGAAAAAAAGTTTGCCATTAAAGCTACCTGCCTAAACATGGTACACTATCATCTTGAAAGACACTGGACAGGAACTGAAAGACTTAAGAAAACTTTCACTGATGCAAAATATCCCACTGCATGTCTTCAGAGCTAGCACATTAACTTCCACATCTACCTCAGGAATCTCCCAATGTAACTCAAGGTACTGGTGCATTTCCATGAATCCTTTATAAAAGCCTTCATATAAACAACAGCCCTTATGTGTACATGGTGAATGTGTGTGCCTGAATGAGGAAGTTTATAATGGCAAACACCAAATGACAGCACTTCTTTCCATAACTTGAAGATTCTGACCTCCAGAATCAGATCAGTGATTCAGTGAGACAATGATTAGGGATATACCTTTGTGGTGGCACAACTGGTTTATTTTTGAGGGTCTGTGCTGAGGTGTGACAGCAATGAAAAACATGGGAAGACATGCTCTTATTCAGTTCAGTGCTGCACAACACCACGTTACAGGTAGGTGTGCAAAGCTGATTTGTCAGACCTTGTAAAAGGCCTGTAACTCTGGGAGAGACAAAACATCTCAGTGGCTGTGCAGGTATGTCCTGCTCCATTGTTCTGTCTGAGATGGATATCACCTAGGCAAAGAGCCACATTCCATCTCTATCCGCTACTCTGTGTCTTTTTCTTGTGCTGCTGCCCTTTCCCATTGATCAAGGCCACCTGGCTGCACTCCAGGATTCAACTCAACAAGCTGCGATCTTGAAAATATTTTGAATAGTAATGTGACAGGGCAGGCCAGTACTGGAGCAAAAGCAGCCAAGTTATGGCATCTGAAATTGGCCTAAACAGTTTTCCTACTGGATCTTGTTTTAGTTAAAGTCAACTTTTTTTTTTCCCCATGTTATGGCAAATTTCCCAGGCCGATTTATTTTCTTTTCACCATATGACTTTACTCATTTTTCCATGTGGCGTGGCTTAAGCTCAGCCAGCGACTAAGCCCCACACAGCTGCTCACTCACTCCCCTCACAGTGGGATGAGGGAGAGAATCAGATGAGTAAAAGAAAGAAAACTCGTGGGTTGAGATAAAGACTGTTTATTAGGACAGACAAGTAAAGAAATAATAATCATGGTGGTAAGGATAATAATAATAATAGGAGTAAAATAATTAGAAGATACAAAACAAGTGATGCACAATACAATTGCTCACACTTGCCAACCAATGCCCAGCCAGTTCCTGAGCAGTGGCCCCTGGCCAGCCTTCCTCACAGTTTATAGACAGAACGTGATGCCATATGGTATAGAATATCCCTATGGCCAGTTGGGGTCAGTTGTCCTGGCTGTGTTCCCTTCCAGCATCTTGTGTCTCCCCAGCCCTCTCACTGGCAGGGCATGTAAAGCTGAAAATTCCTTGTCTTAGTATAGAGATTACTTGGCAACTGCTAAAGCCATCAGTGTTTTATCAATGTTATTCTCATCCTACATTCAAAACACAGCACTACTGTACCAGCCATTAGTAAGAAAATTGACTTGATTCCAGCTCAACCCAGTACACCACAGAAACACACTGTATGGTAGTGTTGCACCTCAAGTCCATCCTACAACTTCCTCCAGCACATGAAACCTCTATGTCCTGCAAATCCTCTTAAGAGAAATGGCACACAGAACAGAAGCCTTTAGGACTAATTTGTCCCACGGGACCATTATCTATACGTGTCACTCTTCCGGTCTATGATATCCTTCTATTACACATATGTTTGTAGAGTATAAAAATCACTCTACTACTGCCTTTAAGGACTGTCCAGTGAGGTGATGAGATCTTTGGTAGCTATGGACAAAGCACAGTTACTTTTGGTGCTCTTACAAAAGTAAATATGAGAAGACTAATGCTTGACAAGAGAAGGCCTTTCAATTTGCAAGAAAAATATATCACAATGACACCTTCTCAAAGGGGAATATTTTCAAAAATCTAGGATTTTCTTCTAATTCTTGCTACTACAACAAATGAAAGATTTGGGAACTAATTAAACTAATAATTAGAGCATTTTTATATTATTTTGATTTGCAATCACTAGTTGATCTAATAAAACTAAAGGCACAGACAATTTTTTTATTACTTGGATAATTTTAGAGAGACCTCTTCCAAAATTGAGTTCTTTTTCATCACTTCCTATAGTTTAGTATCTCAAATGTGATGCTTTTGTCTAGGTGTTTATCTGATTAAAAAAAAAAAAAAACCAAACCCAAAAAAACCACAACAAAACAAAAACAAACCAAACAAAACAAAAAACCAACCAACCAAACCAAACAAACAAAAAAACCCCACACCCTAAACCAAAAAGCATTTACTTAACCAAGGTTGCTTACTTACTAAAGCTGACAATTATCTTCTCTGTTCCTCATTCTATCCATGCAATTTGCATTAGTTTAAGTCTGTACTAGCTAGTCTCCTAATGATTTTTCACATTGTTCTGAGATCAGTGATACTGCAGCCTGTCTCCCTGATGCTCCCAGAAGTCTACCCACAGATATCAAGGACAGTTGCACAGTCATGACTTACACTCAAACTTATCTTTCCAATATGCTGAGTGTCACAACTTCCTCCTGGCTTTCATTCTGAATGTACAGTTCCTTCTGAATCCTTCATCATGAGACAGGGAGAAGTCCTCAGTTAAATTTAGACAGTCTCACTGAGACCATTTACGTTTAGCCAAACATGTAACATAGTTACCTGTGATGACTAGAGGCTGGATGTAGTAACACAATATTATGCCCTGCCCTCCCAAATCAGGCAGGTTGTAGACTATAAAGAAGAGAAAGTTTGCCATTGAAAGCTTTACAGATTTAACCTGTCCTAAATATATTAGTTTCTTCCTTGTCTCTCATCTAATTCTTCTTCTCTCTATTCTACCTTTTGTTCCTCCAACCCTCCAAGCATAACAAATTCACAAGTCAGCTACTGGAATCTCAGTTAACAGTTCACAGCAGTTAACAATTTACAAGGCAAGAAGGATGCATTTCAAGGGAAATTTTCCCTTTAAAATATTAGATGGATTTCATATTTGTTCTCAATGCCAGAAAAACATGAGCAAGAATGAGCATATAATCTGAAGCTCATTCAAACTGGTTATACAGTCAAGCTTCCTTCTTCCAGGATACACTATTAGAAATGTAGAAAGAGAGAGAGACAAAGGGATTTTTTGCAATATTTTAATATCTAGGGCTCTCAAAGCAAAGAAAAATAACTTCTACAGAAGGTCCCTGTGAGTTAAAACACATTATTTTTATTCACATTCTGTAGACAGAGATCCATGGCAGTGCACAAAGAGCACTGGCCTTGTTTCTCAAAGCTGTCACATCCCTGAACCTCTTACTGCTTTAGCACTTCAAAAATGATGCCAAAG